CAAAATGGCTGTCAATACCCGACAGTTACTTATCGTAAAGAGTTTGCTGGGACTCCAATAGGCGCACAGCAGAAGAGGAGTCTCTAATGAATTCGGAGGCACGGCCCCTGCACTATGGGAGCTCACATGTCGGCGGTCAACAGTGCACCGAGCCACAGGCACCTCGTTTTTCAACCCATGGTCGTCGGCCGCGGATATCGAGAGAGTGCGCCAACAAAGCACGGTGAAATGCCATCGCCTTTGCAAGGGGACGCGGATTGCCGTCGGCTTGTGTAGGCGTGGGTTGGTGTGGATTGACCTCCTTTGATCGATGGAGCGGCCAGGCAACCGACGGCGGGAGGCAGCGGCCGTGTGAGGCGGCGATCAAGTCAAGAGACAGTCTGGGCAAAGGTGCGAGGTGTCAATGCGCTGGGCTTTTCGTGTGCGCGGACTTTGTGCCCTGTCCGTCGGAGGGGGTCGGGGTTCGAGTTGAGATATCCGAGGTTGCATCCCGAAGGAAAGCGGTGCGTTGCCTGCGCGTAGTGCGTCCGCTCTGTCGGCATCGAAGCTTTGTCAGCACGCCCGTGGACCGTTGTGAGACGGGCAGCGCAAGTAAACGCAGGTTAGGACGGAAGGACAGGGTTGGAGGGTTTGACGATTGGCTGATTACCTTCCATTCAGCATCGCAACCTTGTAGACGCAAACGCCGCCTTGTAAGGGGCCTTTCCCGGATACGTAATCGATTCAACGCTGCCCATAATTTCCAGAATAGGAGTTTGCCCTCAGCTTGGCCAGGCTCACACTTGCCTTCCAGCTCCGTTCATGCAACCCCCAGACCACCAGTAGAAAACAGCCTATTTGCGATGCCGGCTGCACAGTTGGCAGGCAGTACATGAACTGCTGCAAAATATGTGTGTGCTGCTCATTGGAAAGCAAACCCAACAGTTTCGCTTTTCTCTCGCTGAGTAGAATGTTGTGAATTGTTCTTTGAACAAAGCTTCTGGTTGCCAACTCGACACATTCAAAGCAATGGATGAAAGGAAAGTTGTGCTCAGACTACAACGTCTCTTCGCTTTTCAGTATGACAAGGAAGGCAAGGTGTCTGTGAGACAAGTGGATCTACACCATTGGGAGAGTAGATCATATTTGGAAATCGAAATTGTGAATAGGAATAATGTTGACGAAAATAATACAGTGCAGCCAATGGCTGTTGTGGCGATCCATGTGCAAGCAGCGGGGGTCGCACGTGGTGGTAAACATGAGCTTAGAGTTGTCATTCATCTCCGAAATGAATGTTCAGGATGCCCCCGGCGCATTTTAAATGAAGCACGCCATGCACAGGCAGTTGCCGATGCTCTGTCAGCGGACTGCCAGCATGGCGATGAGTGCCATGAGCAAATCCCCATAGTCCACGTTCCCCCTGGGCCGGCAAGTTGTTGCGCTGGTGTCAGTGCAATTGTAGACGATATCGCATGCAGTGATAGAAACATGCTGCTCCAGCAAGTGAGAAAGGCAAAAAGGAAGGCCTACCGGGAGAGCTATGTGTTCCTTCTTGTTGGTGTAGGCTTCTGTGTGTTTGTGAACGTCAAGAATGGCAACGCACTGGTGGTGTCAGATCCTGATGCAATGAGAATATTGCAATATGGAAGTGCCCATGAGGAACAGGCAGAGCTGTCAACAGTGGTTCAGATGGCAGCACAACATGAGGCAGAACATGTAGACAATGAAAATGAAATGGACGAGTTTGACCGCATTGGAGGTACACACCCTGGAGTGAGTCTCAATAGCACAGCAACTTTGGCAGCATTGGGCAACTGAGTGGGGCACTCGAGACATGGAGATTGCTGCACAGTGGTTCAGGAAGACGTACGTCGTCTTCACTGGTGATCAGTGGATAGTTCGGCAGAACCCCAGATGGAAACGTGTGTGGAATTTAGTCAAGAGAAAAGTGGAGAAGGTGCAAATCACAGGGCTCACAGCTTTTGGTTTCAGTGTAGAGTGGAGGTTTGTGGATGTGACGGGCAGCCGGTTTGGGAGATCTTTTGGGCCGCTCATACGAAGGGGTTGATCACAACAGGTAATGATTGGCATGAACTGCGTGGCAGTTTTGACTTCTTGAAAGTCTTCAATGAGACCATGTCAGAGAGCAAAGAATACCCACCGGCATGGAGGTTGGTCCAGTCCATTGGCGAACACATACTGGCAGCGTCCAAGAGCGTCCAGTTGCACGCCTTTGGCGCCGCCAAGTGCTGGAGACTCTTGTATGGCAGCTCATGCGAATCTGCCCATTTCATGGATTATGGTGACGAACACCTCGTGAAGGAAAGGGGCCTCTTCTTCAAAGAAACTAAAAAAAGGTCATTTCGTCCGTCGATTCAACAAGCGCGGTCCATGGTGTGAGGTGGTGGCGATTGACCTGTACGACTACAAAATCAACCTGGGACCATGTGCTCAGGGCTTGGATGTGGATTCGCTTTGGGGAAGGGAGTATGCCATGCATGGCAACAAGGGGTGAAAATTGGGTTTAATGAAAACATCCCCAGTAGCTGGACTCCAATGTGCAAAGCACAGTATGCGTGGCATTTGGGAGCATGGCCAAAGGACCGGAGTTGATGTACTATGCTGACCGGTGTGTGGAGCTGGATTCGGGCTTTATGTATTCAACCCTTGTTTTGCGTGACTCTGTGTTGATTCTGCACATGCATCATGGCGTTGGTGCTGCTTTTAAGCCGTAGTATGTGTGACTGTTCCTTTGGCATATAGTATGGACAAACGCTGCAAGAGTGAAAATCTTAGGTGCTTTCACTCCAGTTTGAGCAAGTTCTATATTTACCAAGCAGAGATACCGGATTTGTTTATTCGGTATTCGGCATTTAATGCACAAGAAAATCGCCTACGACACGGAAAATGGTGCAAGGCAGACGCCACATTTCTGCCGAACTTCCAATAGTCTACAACTCGCCAGGATATCGAAGCCAGTGAAAAAATTGCAAAACTTTGGAGGAAAGGGATTAGGATACATTATAGCGTTACCCACTGAGGTGCCAATTACCATTTTCCGCATTTTCCTGACACAAACAGTCTCCAAGTGAATGCAAAGGGACCGGCACAATCCCCTACAGCCTTCCAGAAAGCTGAATCGGGCCCACCATAACAGCAACCTCCCAGTCTTCAAGCGTATCATGGCACATCTACCGATCTCAATTCCCCGTCAAGAACCTGTCATAGCACCTCCGAATGCGGTGCGATAACCTTGATGCCCAACGCAGACTGCTGCGCAGCGCGGTCGAATCACACAGTACTTCAGCCCAATTTGCAGCGATAGTACAGCTTCCTGATTTTCTTCCAGTGGTGGGACCACTCACGCATGGTGCCCGAGAGAAATCGGAGATGCGATCACCGTGGCATCATGCCACATAAAGACTTTAGGAGCAAATGCGCAATTCTTGTCAGTTGCATCAAGGTATCGTCGTAGTTTGTCACAACTAAGCATTTCCGCAATGAACATGTGGATCTGTCGTCGAGGCGCCTGGTCGCACCAGTTCGCAGGTGCGAACCAAACTGGGGCAAAGTATTGGCAAGACTTGGCAATGCGCACATTTAATGTGCGGCTAGCCAAACAAGTGGCATACCGCCTTATGAGGCGGTGCATTTACAAGCGCATCGACACAATTTCTTTCACGACACATCAGCATTGCGCAGATGCAATGATTAAATTTAACATGGCAAGCATCATTGTGATGTCGCTTGATGTTGAGCCCCATGAGTGCAACTGTAGCGCTTTGTCACTTCCGACTAGTGCAGTCAGAATATCGGCGCATCTTCGGAAGGCCACGCGGCAGCTGAATGTTCGGCGCCAATATAAGCCCCCAGGCACATTCTGAAACCTTCGGGTTTCTCGTGCGGACGAGGTCATGTCGCAATGATTTTGTCAAGCCCAAAGCATTAGGTACTGCCAGTACTAATACGTGCATGCCTGCGGGGATGTTGGCGTGAGGCCTGAAGAAGCACAAGGAGGGTCTCCAACTTGCCCCTGTTTGGCGAACCGGCTCCCAGGGTATAGGCGACGCAGGCGCATATGTACAAAGCGCCGCTACAGTCGTCCCATACCATCGCTGATGGCCCATCGGACCTGACTCAAACACAGTGGACCCAAGCATGCACTAGTCACGAATGCAGCCCACGCCTGTGAGGCACGCGCACAGAAGCAGCGGAGATCAGGTCAGGAGCTATCATGCAATCGCGGGCTCCATGCCATGCACGCCACCTATAGAATTGCCGCCCCTGGTGGTGCGCAACTTGAGTGCGGATTCCGGAATCGAAGCCATCTCAGCGGCATTGATGGCGCGGGGAGGCGGCGAGGATTGGGCGCCACAGTGGCGCTTCAGGAGCGCTGGGTTTTTGTCGCGGGGCTGCTCTGAGGTACTGGCAAGGAGGGCCGACGGGAAGGAAAATGCAAGAAGGAGAGAAGTGGGAAATGACAAGGCTGGAAAGCAAACGGAGGAAAAAGCAAAGAGAAAATCATGGTTGGGAAAGGGCATGGCCGCAAGGCAAAAGCAAGAAAGGAAAGTGCGGGAGAGGCAGAGGTGGGAAAGTGCAAGGCGCAGAGGGGAGCAGAGAGGTGTTCTTTAGAGCGGCTGGCGGGTGGGCGTTTCAGGGGCTGGGGCTGACGCGAGAGGAGCCGTCGGCCACGGTTTTGTGGCACCAGGGCCTTCTGAGGTATAAGAACACCGATCAATGGGCAGAGAGGGTGGTGAGGCTCAAGGCACAGCTGAGGCTGGGAGACGAGTCGATGATGGAGAAGCTGATGCGAGATGTACTCAGATGTATTTCAAAACTGAGAAACTTGCCATGCACTAGAGCTGCATGCACAAGCCAGAACTGCCAGATCAGCAGATGCACCTTCAGCATTCCCATTGCACCCAGCACTCTGTGCCTGGCTCTGCAAAAGACATGTGCAACCGATGGGGCACAGCCAGCTTAAGAATCCCCTGTACTCAGACCCATTGGCATGCAGCATACTATTTTGTTGTCCCCAAGTTTCTGCAGAACTCCAAAAAGTCGATGTGGCCACCAGTCAGGAGCAAGCCCCTCTTTCGGAAAGATGCATCTGATGCAGTGAATGCTGAAGTGAAGTTCTGGAACGACACTGGGTGCCCAATGTGGGCCAAGAACAGAAACCGGGGCCTCAGTCGCTTCTCCAGCGAATAGCCAATAATGGGTGGATGCTTTGTGATGACGTCCCTGGGGACCATTCCCATGGTCTGCTCGATGAACTTAATCTTCTGCTGCATCAGGGGACCTTTGAGAGCCAGTGTCAGTATCGTGGGTTGGGTGCGGTATATCTTGACCAGCTCATCCCCTTTTATCCCAATGCCAGAGAGGTACTCATGGTTGGCGGTGAGCTTTTCCAGTGAGCAGCCCAACACGCCAGGGCATTTGCGGATAACACTGGCCAGCACACCACCCGTTAGCCCCGCACTTGCCAGCCACTCAGCAGCTGGCTTGAGCTTGTTGTCCACGGAGCAGCCCAGAAGCTGGGGAAATCGCCTCAAGACGGTCACCAGTGCATCGCCACGAACACCCATGCTCACAAGCCAAGTCACAGTTGGGTTCAGATTGTTGTCCGTGGAGTAGGTCAGCATTCGTGGGAACCTCTGAAGGACAGCTGATATGTCGCTCTTCTGCAGACCATTCTTGGACAGCCAGTCGATCGTGGGCTTCAGGTTTTTCTCCATGGAGAGTGCCAGCACCTTTGGGCAAGCAGAAAGGATGCCAGGCAGTTTCTCCTGCGGCACGCCTAAGCCGCACAAAAAGCCCACCTTGGCCCTCAGGGACTCTGTGGACATGGAGGCAGCCACAGGCTCCCTCCTAATGATCCCCCTTATGACTTCCATGGAACACCCTTGTTGCTCCAAAAGCGCAATGTTCTTCCACAAATTCCCCCCGCTCATCGTCAGGGCAGCAGGCCTCCTGGCCAGGTCCTTCATCAACTCAGACTGCTCAGAAATGCCCAAGAGTGCCTTCCACGCCATGGCCCTCTCTGCCCACTTCCCAGTATTCTTGTAGCTGAGCAGTCCTGGGTGGTGAGAAACGGCCGTGGCTGCCTCTTCCTCCGTCATGCCCAGCTCCCTCAATGCTCCCAGCACTGACTCTAGCCGCTGGGGCGTGGATGCCGGCCCCATCCTCCCAGCCCTACCTCCCCCACCCTCGCAGCAAACCCTGGTGGCCAGTCTCCTCCGCAAGGACGTCCACTCCGCCAGCCAAAATCGCCCGCCGCCTTGCATCATCCCCGAAAACAACCCCACTCCCGGCAGGTATGACGCATTTTGTACGACATAGTTTTTTGTATTGCAACGAATTTTACCCCCAACCCTGGTTTCTGCAGCGACCCCGGTGACGGGTCCCCCCCAGGTGCCTCTCTGGAAGGCTTGCCCTGGGCCCCCTGGAAACAGCAGGCTCACCTGAGCTGCCCTTGGGAAGGCGTTGCCAACACTTGAGATTCGGCTTGAGAAGTCTCTTGTGATTTCTGTTAGGATTTCTGCTGAGATTCTCAACGCACGACTCCCCAGCCACCTCTCTCCCACCTAGACCTCCGGCGCCCTCACCTTCCGCCCTCCTCTCCCATGCCCAATGCCAGTCTCTCGCGCCACCTTGACGAATGCAATCCAAATTCCGGCAGACGCAATCCGCGCCTCCCGAATCCTGCCCACTCTCCGGGCCGGCCACTCGCGATTCCAGAGGCCGCGAATAACAGCTCAGCACCACCCAGCGCTCCGACCGCCGCCCGTCCTGCGCCCAGAAAGGATCGCTGCCTTGGGATGAGCCCTGCAGAGGACATATCGAAGCCGTATCAAAGATATATCGAATACGTATCGAAAGTATCTCCTGCGCATTCGTAGGCCCAACCCGGAGCAAGTGGCCCGCGGCCGGAAACCCCAACTCTCACAAAACGAACAAAACAAAACTGTGCAATGTTGGATTGCATTGTGCAGAGGACTTGCTCTGAAACACCAAAATCCCTGCTGGCTCTGTGCTTGATTGTGCTCAAGTGGCGACTTGCAGCCCCGGCGTCAGAGAACGCAAACCCGCTAGAGGCGAAAGTCGCGGACCTGAGGCGAGATGGATGCTGCGTGGATGACACTGAAAAGATTGTTGAGAGGACGTTAGTGGCTATGTCCATGTCTGGGACAGGGCCATTGTTGTGGAAACACATGGGGGTCGAGAGGATTATGACCATTAGTCATGGTTGGCTAGTCATCTGTGGGATTCGACCCATTATCTGGATTCTTTGTGATCTCTAGATACTCGTAGACTCTTTCTTTGTCATTATCCCCCAAGTATGGAGTAGTTTGTGGCCTAGGGAAGTCCCTATACTTAAGGGACAGGCCATGGGGGTAGATTGGGCTACGTTGTATCGATAGTGGGTCCGATACGGGGGTATGCCAGGCGATACAGCTGTGACACACTGATGTACATTGTAGTGTCTGTGTGACGGGTGGTCAGGCCGGAATGTGGCCGACCACCAATACGTATGCGGGGGTGCGTTGCTCCCCGCTCTGTTACCCGTTTGGCTCATTGCCGCGCTCTGCACGGGCCTCGCGGCCCGGGGAGCAAGCTGCCTTGCAACCCGCCGTCTTCAAACGGTAGGACCGCCCGATCCCAGAGCACAAGAGGGCCCACCGCGCAACGAACGAGCGAGCACCCCGATTACGCCCGCTGGGTTCGGCGGAGGGGGCCATCGGCCCGACAGGGTGCAGGCGGATGAAGTGGGACACGCGCCGGAGAAAAGGGACCAGCGGAGGCCATTAAAAGAGCCCCGCAACAGCCATGATTGCCATGGTCACCTGTGTCGTGCAGGCGGTCAAGAGGGCACGTATATCAATGGTGGCCGACCGGGGCCGGTCCTCTGCCACAGCACCGCAGTCCCACTTCTTTTGTTCTCTCCACAACGGGGGGCAACTCACGAGCCTGCAATTGCTAGCCACTAATGAACAAGACAAAAACTATTTGCAAAAACTCCTGATACTTGTGTACCTGTTCTGGATCGTGTTAGAATGTTGCAATCTCAGGGCTTCGTTTGCATTATTACAATTGAATTGTACCTGCATTTGCATCAGTGCATTGCCGATGCTCAACAAAATTTTCGCCAGGCCCTTTGCATTCTCCAGACAAGTACATTTGATGTAATCAATCGCTTCTAAAGCGAGGACGGACATACTTTAAACCATTTTGCCGTCGCCGGTGTCACTCCTCGAGATGAATCAAGTAAATCGAAGCAATCAAAACCACGTCATCTCCTAAGCGGACACTGCCACTGAGTCCATCTGTAAAGCCGGTGGGCCCGTGAGCTTTTGCATCATGACGCGCAACCAGCTGATCACCCAAAGGCAAGCCATACCATGCACTCAAGACAGTTGCAATCTGCAATGCCACAGCAATCTTTGGCGAATTCTGGGCAGAAATAATCGCCCAAATGGACAAGATTGACAGAGAAGCTGAGGCCCACCATCACGTGGTCGTGCACGGCATTGAGGGCGGTTGCAATCCACGCAAGCGCACAAAAAACCCTTGCTGTTGCGGTCTGGACGCACCTGGCGTCAACTTGCACACAGATAAAATGTGCGCCAGCACAATGGATTGCTGCTAACAACTGGTCATGCAAGGGGAATTGCCCAAATTCAGAGTAATGTGAATTAATAATGCTGTGGCCCCGTCGGCAGCCGCTGGTTTCCGGAGGCGTTGGGGTCGCCCTGCCCTGTAGCTCGGCTGTTGGAGGTCAGCCGGCCCTCTCCACCTTGGACGGTGGGCGTATCCGGGGCAGTCGCTCCTGTGGTCGCGCAGCGGGCCCAATGCTCGACGGGGATTGATCCCCGGGGCCTGCTGTCGGCGAGTGGTGGCGGCACAGCGAGGCGGTGGCTTGCTGGCTCGCGGGAGGCCAGAGAGTGGGCCAGAACAGTTACATGGATTCGCAGCATGCGCGCGCACATATTGCATGCGCGATGCCCGATCGCGGGTCCATCCCGGTCACATCATGACAAGACAAGACAAGTGCGCATCCAGGCACATTGTCACCGTCCACCGTTCACCTACGATCGACCTAATGTCCTCTAATTCCAAGCATCTAACACCCGACCCCCTAGCCCTAAGTACTACGACTTCATAAGACCATATCTTCGCCGTTTCTTAACGGAATCGGGCGTTTAAAAGCTCGTTGGAACCAAGAAGCTCTAAATAACGTCCCCAAAAGGTATATTTAGCCAATTACGTAATCCTACTCCAGAAAATGTCAAATAACTGTCTTACCCCAAGTAGCCACGTCACAACTAATATTTAGTAATATAGTTTACCCACAGTGCCTAGAGCAGCGAAAGGGAGGACATGGGCATATGCTCCTAAATGCCAACGTGATCTGCATCCCATCACTGAATCAACAGTGTTTTTCCCCTCGTTGACATTGCTGTCGACAATTTTCCATTCTGTGCTCCTCGCGGTGGACAGAAGTACTCTATGTCATTGCCAAGCCGTTTGCGAGGAGAAAATGCAGACTAATCATCAGAGCTGGGTAACTAAAGAACCAGACTTGTGACAAGCTTTCGTGCAAAATGTCGGTAAGGGGGTCATGGAAAACAACAAAACGTGCATTTTGTGCATAAGCAAAATGCAAGAAAAATGCCACAACAACAAACTTACGCACAAACAGGCCATTTTTGGGGTCACCCAACGAACAAGAAAACCACAATATTGCGCACAAAGGAGGACAACCTTTGCGCGCGCCGCGCGCGCAAATGCAGGCAAATATCGCTGGGCCTAGTGCATCAATGCACGGGGTCGGTGGGGTGGGGGGAAGCGGAACCCGTGTTGTACATGTTTTTTTTGTAAAAACTTTCTTAAGCTTGTGATGTAAAGCACGAAAACTGGTGTTGTAAAGGCGTTCATCCTCTTCTTTTTTAGTGCACTCAGAAATGGCGATGTTGCGCACAAGTTTCCTTGTTTTCTGATGGTCAATCTTGAGCACAGCCATTTTGCCCAAAAAAATACATAATGGTGATGTTGCACACAAGTGCACCCTTTTGGACCTTACCGACATTTTGCACGAAAGCTAGTTCTGTGCATGAAGCCTTTCTCGTGTGCCATAGGGCGCTTCGCCACTGGGATTCTCACTGCAACCTGGACATATCGAAGAAGTATCGAAGACATATCGAATAGGCATCGAAAGTATCTCCTGCGCGCATTCGAAGAACACCTGACAAGAAACAGAGATCCGCTAGTTAACTTCAAGCCGCCGGCGACCATCGCCAAAATCGCACCTGCGACGACAACGTTTGCACCAATGCCATGAGCAGCAATGACGCTCAGGACGACGGCCACGAACAAAAAGTGGGTGGACAGGGACATCCATTCCACCACCAGCCTTCGGATGGTCCCCCACTGGGGATTATCTTCCGTTTGAGCTCCTTGGGGTGACTCTATCGTCCGATCATGCCGCACCGAATCACCATCGCTGCCAAGACCTGCAAACAGAAAGAAAAGCGGGCTGAAGCAGCTGCGCTCGAATGCGATTGCGTAACATTGCCAGTGACATAATAACAGCAATGCCAAAAACATGCTCCAAAGCAGTTGAAACGATTATTGTCCCTTGGGAAGCGACGCGGATTAAAAGGGAAAGCTCTTGCTATACATTGAACTTGGACTTCGAAAATTTCGAATCCTTTTTGGTCGCTATGTAAAGGGTTTGCGAACATCAGTGTATATCAACTGGAATGCAATTTCTAAGCTTTGAAGATGGTGCAATTGAGTGAGTAGTGGGTTAGGTCATAATTGACGAACCGCGCCAGAGTCAACCATCGGTCGCGAAATTTTTCCAAATCCGGGGCGCTCAACCAAGTTTCTTGAAGAATGGACTGGCAGCGCTGCCATGACTGGGGTCAGTCACGACTGTCCTCCCGAACGAATGGCAGGCTTGCGTGAGAAGCCGAAGTGAAGTTGGACCATATCTCGGCGCCTCACTCGAATCCCCACACCCGTTTTGTGAGCGTGCTTCTCTGCGTCTTCAACCAAGGGCGGCCGTGCTGCGGGCGCCCATGGCGGAGGAGCGAGGAACCCCAGCCTTGCCGCCGGCCAAACGCTCTCCTCCCACTGTCTTGGACCGGTGCGAAGACGGAAGTCAACCGACCGAGGTGAGTCGCTCGGCGCGACGAGCGCATCCGGCCCAGCCGCGGCTCACGACGACGAACCTCCGATCGGGACGGATTGGCCAGTCGCGAGATCGACATAGGCGATCAGGTCG